TCTATAAGTAGTCTGAATAAATTCATAAAAATATTTAAAATACCATAACAAATTGTCATATCTTCCATCATATCCACCAACATAAGATAATGCGTTTCTTTATTTTGGGTTAATCCATATACAGTTAACTCCCTCTTAGTGCAAGTTCTCATTAAATGCAATAAATAGTCTTGGTCCAAGTTGGGAATTACAAAACAAGTGCAAGATTTCTTTCAGCCAACATATATTAATTATTTTCTCTAATTGCAAGATACCAATTAAATTGATTTATTTAATTACAAGTCTTTTTCTAAGTGCAAGTTATTTTTTTTTAACTTATCTGTTATTAACTTGCATTTAGAGAGAATTAATTATATATATATTAAGTTAGTTATCTTTAATTGCGGATTTTCTTTAAACGCAAGATATTTTTCTTGCCCATTGACTTACACTTAGAGAGAGTTGACTGTATCCCAAAATCATTACATCATACTGTAGTATATAATTTACGTAGAAAATTCAACATGGTTTTTAATTAAATTTACCTTTTAAAAGTCGAAAGTTTTCCATATAGATCTTGAATACGACTACTAGATTATTCACATGCACCTCTATATGTACTGATCACGTTACACTTGACTGATCGATATATTTTTTTTTTATACCGCGATACCGATATTGATATAATTTAATTAACATCGAGTTAGATAGACAATGACCACTAACGTTAATGAATTTGAAGAGCCTTTCTTAGCCGATGAACAAATTCAAAGTGATTCAATTATCTCACCACAGACTTCTTCCAAACTGTCCTCTCCTCTCGATAGTTTAAAAATTTCTTCTACCAAAGTACTTGAAAAAATTACTGAACGAACCCCTTGTCCAAAATGCGATAAACCAGTCAAATACTTTTGTTACTGGTGCTACATAATTGTTGGCTGCGATAGTAGCGAATTACCAAGAGTGAAGTTACCAATTAAAATTGATGTGTGGGATTTTACTTTTTTTTTCTTTATTATTAGCTTCATGTGGCCCAAGAGCATAGTTTGTGGTGAGATTTCAGGCTTCAAGTTGTACTAACGGTTCTTTTTTTTTTCGAAAATTAATTATTTCATCGTACCCTTCCTTTTAAAAGAATTAAACATCATAAAGAAAAAGTTGGTAAATCAACGGTTGCTCATGCAAAAATAATAGCTCCGGATGACGTTGAAATTATTTCTTATTCACAAATGCCAAAAATTGAAAACCCGGGCCGTATGTTATTACTTTTTCCTGGTCCGGTAAATATTATAATATTTTACTCCTTTTTTTAATATCAATTTCTTTCAATTATATACTTCAGCTATAATAATTTGTTCTAATCATAATAGAACTCCAAAACATTACAAGAAATACCAAGATCCTCATTTGATAAACTCTTAGTAGTAGATGGTACATGGCGGCAGGCTTCAAATATGGCAAGGACTAATCCTGAACTGAAAAATATTCGTAAAGTCACTATAAACCAGCAAAAAAAAAACATTATTCTGGAGATATCAAAATAAAGATGAATATCATTTAGCCACTATCGAAGCTCTTTACTATTTTTTGAAAGAATATAATGAAGTTTATGAAATTCCAGAAGAAGCTATTCATTCTGATGTTAGTGGATATGATGGAAGATATGACAATTTGTTATGGTATTTTAAATATTTTTATGAATTTATTCAGACTACTTATAGA